CTTAATTTCTCCATCATACAAAACAACAGCAGAAAGATGACTCATTTTTAGAGAATTTGAGAATTTAGAGTTTGGGAATTTGAGAATTTGAAAGCTTGTGAACTGAAGTTTGTTTTGAAAGTTTATAATACGTTGCATATAATAGTGTCTATAATCGGGGTACTATTCACATGAAGGCGCGTTCCCGAGGGCGCGCCTTCCATTATTTTGTCAGAGAATATGTTATCATTGCCCTATTCTGTCACTCGTGTCCCTCGGGGACACTATTCATATCAGTACCTATTATTTCTCAAGGAACTTGAAGGCGCGTTCCCGGGGGGCGCCTTTCATTATTTTGTCAGAGAATATGTTATCATTGCCCTATTATGTCACTCATGTCCCTCGGGGACACTATTCATATCAGTACCTATTATTTCTCAGGGGACTTAAAGGCGCGTTCCCGGGGGCGCGCCTTCCATTATTTTGTCAGAGAATATGTTATCATTGCCTTATTATGTCACTCATGTCCCTCGGGAACACTATTCATATCAGTACCTATTATTTCTCAAGGGACTTGAAGGCGTGTTCTCGGGGGGCGCCTTCCATTATTTTGTTAGAGAATATGTTATCATTGTCCTATTATGTCACTCATGTCCCTCGGGGACACTATTTATATCAGTACCTATTATTTCTCAGGGGACTTGAAGGCGCGTTCCCGGGGGCGCGCCTTCCATTATTTTGTCAGAGAATATATTATCATTGCCCTATTATGTCACTCATGTCCCTCGGGGACACTATTCATATCAGTACCTATTATTTCTCAGGGGACTTGAAGGCGCGTTCCCAGAGGCGCGCCTTCCATTATTTTGTCAGAGAATATGTTATCATTGCCCTATTATGTCACTCATGTCCCTCGGGGACACTAGATGGATTGTGAAATCAGGTAAATTATAACCAAAATTTAACTTCTTTTGAAAGTTCAGCAAGTTAAGAATAAATTATACATATAGATTAATTTAAGTTCATAACTTAAATTAAAACGTTATGTGAAGTTTGAATAAATTAGATAAAATGTTATGGATAAATTGAATAAATGTGAAGTGATAAGTTGATTGTGACATTGAAATTGAATGGAATGAGCATCGAGATGTTTTTACGAATAAATGTGAAGTGATAAGTTGATTTTAATGTATACGTTTTAATATATATGTTAATGATAAAATCATATGTATGGATAAATTTAATTTCAATTTAAGTATTGTGAACTATAATTGGAATACAACTTTTAATTTCGAATACAATTGGAATATTAAGTTGAAATTTAATGTTAAATTTCGAATACTATAATTTATATTTTAATTTTAAATTTTGAATAATATTATTTTTATTTTTATTTTAAAATTTGAATAATATAATTTGTATTTTAAAAACATTTATCAAACATTTAATGTTAAATGTGAATAAAAATAGCATTAAAAATATGTATGTAACAACCATGAAACATTTAAATAACATAACCAAATTACATAAAATTCTGAAATATAACTATTTAAATAACATTAAAATACAACTGGATCACCGATGTCGTCTTCTCGAATGAGTTCCACATGGCGATGGTTGTCTATTTCGTGGAGGATTTCTTCGTGGAACTTGTTCTTCAGTCTCATCATCTTCACTATCATCATCATCAGCATTTTGTTCATTTGGTGTAGATGACGCTGAAGGGGCTGAAGGGCCTGTATAAAATAACGACCCTGGAGGAGTGCTAGTAACAATCCCACCGCTCCCCGGGAACTGTGAAAACTGTGGAAACATTGGCATCGATGTCTATGATCCAGATGGAGATTGAGGTGTCTGTGGAGAAGCACCACCAGCCAAATAAGATGCATATAAACCATATGTTGGATCATTAAACATAGTCGTATATGCACCTCCATATTATATAAAACCCTGCGGGCTAGGCATGTAACCTGGAGGGCTAGGAATGTAACCCTGCGAGCTCGGAATGTAACCTGGCGGGCTAGGAATGTAACCCTGCGGGCTCGGAATGTAACCCTGCGGATATGGCATATGAACTGGTGGGCTTGGCATATGAAGTGGAGGGCTGGGCATGTACCCCTGCGGCATCGGTGGATAAGGATGTTGTGGTGGGACTGATGCAGAACCGGTAGCGCCTTCTCTCCATCCACGCGTCGGGGGACGATGATATTGAGACGGTTGACGTCTTTCTCGATGCCTAGGAATGCTAACCCCTCGTGCTTCCGCCGAAAGTAGAAACGGCTTCCCATTTTCATTAAACCAATTCATATAGTTATCCGTAACCATATGACCAGTTTTAGCGTAATATTGTCGAGGGGCCAACAGTGCATATCGGTTCTCCCAAAGCGCAATCCAATCTCTGTGTCTCACCACCCAGTTAACCTCTTTCTTTCCTCGTCTATCTATGTTATGCACGTCGTCTAAATTCCTAGGTGTTCCAGGAATATATTACGTACAACCATACCGACGGAGCATGCGATCAACTGGATGCCACTCAATAATAGCATAACATATAAGAGGTATAACCAACATCCATACCTCTAATGACCCACTAAGGTGGGGTGGGATGCAAGCCTTCACTTCATCGCTCGCATAAGGTATCCACTGAAACTGAAATATAAATATACAATTCAAATAAATAAAAATTCTAATTATATCTAGCATTTTAAATTAAAATATTAATAAACGAATTTCCTCAGACCCAGTAGGTATACTTTTATGGTTCTTTCTTTTCATCAACCACCTATGAAATATAGTATAAACTAAATATCACCCTATTTAATTAAAAATATTTAAATCAAAATTTAGTTCAAAAATTACCTTAACAATAAGGGGAATACGTATGGTTCATTCACGATTGGGCATAAGAAAGGCATGCGGAACCACGCCCATGATTGTAGAAGCAGAAGACATCCACCGATAGCAGTTTTCTTATAATTCGTCGCCCGACACATTTCTCTAAAGAGAAATGCCAAAACTGCAGCGCCCTAACTATATCTTCCAGCTTCATCAAAATCGATCAGATGCCGCAACCACATACAATGCACCTGGTTGCGAGATTTGTCGGGCATCAATATTCCTCCAATTATTCATAGAATATATGCCCGAGCACATGCCTTTGCTTGATCCTCTGAAGCATTTTCATTTAAAACCTCAAAATTAGCTTTCAACCAAGATAAAGCTATTCTACCTCCATTAAACTCTGGCGGAGCAACTCCAAGATAATCACTGCACATTGACTGGCAATCACCATCCGCCATACCACACATCATATTTCCGTCGACGGGAAGCCCCAGATGCATAGAGACATCCTCTAATGTAATTGTAGCCTCTCCACATGGAAGGTGAAAAGTGTGTGTCTCGGGCCTCCACCTCTCAATCAGTGCAGAAATTAGGACAGGTTCGATTTTGCAACCGCCAAGCAGAAGCCAAATATGGCAAAATACGTTCCGGTGTCGGTATACGTGGATTTTTAATAAAAGTCTCTAAAATACGATCAGTATCCTAAATAATATACATTATAAAAAATTAAAATTAATATAAATTCATAATAACTTTAAATTAAAAATAAATTTAAATATTAACATTAATTATAAAAAATATTATCATATCGCTAAAATGTCTGGAGATATGATCAACATCCAATCGCAGCAGCATTTCATTTTCCATTATAACTGTAGACAAAACAATATAATTAGCATAAAAAAATAATTAATAATTCTAAATAAATAATAATTATATAAATATTATTTTAATAAAAAATAATATTTATATAATTATATTAATATAAATTATAATAACTATTTAAAAAAATACTAACATAAAAATAAATTTCTTACCACTAATAGAAAATTTAAAACTCAAATAGTTGGAGAATTTGAGTTATATAAGAGAGGAGAATATGATTTTGGTGTGAAGGATGAGGGAGGGTTGAGGGGGTTTATATAGGGGAGGAGGAGGGGTAGTTAGGGAAAACGGATAGGGGCATTTATGGCATTTAATAGAAGGCGCGTCCCCGGGAATGCGCCTTCCACACGTGGCATCCAACTCAGCGAAAACCCGAGTAAAGCGCGTCCCCGGGGATGCGCCTTTCGCCAGCTCAGCCGAAAGGGTGCCACTTCGGGAAATATATATCAAACGGTACTAAAAAGATAAATATTCGATTAAACAGTGTCAGTTTGATCAAATCGCCCACATTTTAATCATTATATTTCTCTCACATCATCATCACTATTATAATATTACTCTTCGCTCCTTAAATATAAACACATATATTTATTAAATAGTTTCAAATATAAAAAATATATTATTTTTAAAAATATTAAGTTTAAAATATATATACACGTCGATACTTAAATAAATTATGAATAAAATATTATCCCTATATTTATCTCGTATTATTAAAAAATTAATTGATAAATTCATAAAATTGTCATTTATTGATTACAAAAATCAATAAAAGACAACTTTTCTAGAGAAAGAATGTTAGCAAAGGGGGATAGAAACAAACAAATTGATCCAAAGGGTATAGATAAAGGAAGATCTGATGATCGGTTTCCCTGCCGTTGGATGAAAAATCATTTTCTCATGGTGGGATGATGATGAAGACGAGGCCCCCTTGTTTGGTGAGAAGACAATAATTCATTAACATGGTGAAGTTTAATTAACAAAATCTTCCCCAGCAAACATTTAATAATAGATTGGGCTATGCCAATGGGTTAGATTAGATGCATTCTTAATTGAAAACACAATAACGAAAGAAGCTTGTCGTTGTTTCCTTTGTATTGTATCCATAAAACCATGAGATTTGGGCGAAAAGCCGTGTGTTTTCTCATCACTCGTCCTCCTTTCACTTTCCCTTTTCATTTCCCTAAAAAGAAATCAAATTCCATTGTTTTTAATACAAAGATCTTTGCTTTATCGTTTACAAAAACAGGATCTCTCTTTCTATTTCTTGTGTATATATTTATACAGATTCACGTGCGTTTGTCGACCTGGATTTGTCGGTCAGTCTTTCCCACGAAGCCAAAAGCAAATAAAAAGGAGTGTTGTGGAGGAAGAAGAGGGTCGTGGATTGTGAGTTTACATTAAAACAAGAGCAAAAAAAGGTTGATGGAGTTAGCTCTGAGCTTGGGTGATCCATCAAAGCCATTCTTGTTTATAGAGAAAACCCCAAAGCTATCAAGCAATGATCTAGGGTTTTGCATAGAAGCTACTACTAGAGATGGAGACAACAAAAGGGTTTCTTCAGATCTTCATCTGCTTCCCTTCTCTCCTCTTCGTCGTACGCCACCTTCTTCCCAGCTTCGTCTTCCTTGGCTCACTGATAATCGTTAGGAATCTATATTTTATTCATATTCTCATTAGTATATTCCAAGCTTCATGTTTTCTTCCCTGTTCTTGATAAGGTGTAGGACAATTGAAGTCTGCTTTTCTTTTGCTTCTTTCTTCAACCTTTAATGCTACTTTCTGGGATATTAACCTTTTTGTATGTAACATTAGTGCACGAAACGGGTTCATCAGAAGGACCAGTAAGAGGGTTAGACGTGAACCGGCTACCGCTGGTGGCGTTGGGGGATGAAACGGAGGAAGGGGCGGCGCAGTCGTCTTCGAACAGCGCGGTGTTATCTTTTCAGATGGATTTTGGGATTACACACGGAGGCAGAAGAGGCAAGAGAGACAACATGGAAGGTGAAACCGAAAGGGGTAGCTCAAGAGCCAGTGACGATGACGACAACGGTTCAACCCGGAAGAAACTGCGGCTCTCTAAAGAACAGTCTGCTTTTCTGGAAGAAAGTTTCAAAGAACACAACAGCCTAAATCCCGTGAGTCAAAACAAAAAAGAAAAAACGAACCACTTGTTTTAATTCATTTCCCTAGTTTTAGGGCTCATGTCTTGTAAATATTCTGATTTCAGAAACAAAAGCTTGCTTTGGCGAAGCAGTTAAATCTCCGCCCTCGACAAGTGGAAGTCTGGTTTCAGAATAGAAGAGCAAGGTACAAGTATTAATTATTTTCATGGCTGTTGGGTTAAAGAAATGCCAAAATATGTGAATTTTTTTGTTGTTTATTGATTTCGAATAAAATGGTACGAAAACAGGACGAAATTGAAGCAGACGGAGGTAGATTGTGAGTATTTAAAGCGATGGTGCGAAAAACTGAGAGATGAAAATAGAAGGTTACAAAAAGAACTGCAGGAGTTGAGAGCTTTAAAGACTTCTGAACCGTTTTACATGCACTTACCTGCCACTACCCTAACTATGTGTCCTTCATGTGAGCGTGTTGCCACCGCCGACGGCGGTTCCAAAACTGGAGGGTACCCTTTTTCGCCACCGCAAACACTTGTGACCCACAGCCAGTCCCCAACCGACCAGGCTGCCTTGTAAAATCATTGGATGTGACCACTGACCAGTCAAAAAGATGCTATCACCTCTGGTCGATTTTTGTACATGTTTTTGGCTTCAAGGAATGTTTTTTTATTGATTTGTTGATTTTTAAAAAATTTCAATCTTGCAATTTTCTTAGTGATAGAAAGGGTTAAGGAAAACGATATTTGAGTTTTTCGATAGATTTGATTTTGTTTAGAGTGGAACTCTTGATATGCGAGATGTTGAAGAAATGTCGTTAGACAGGCTGCCTGTTGTGCTTGACAAGGAAAAAAAATTAATGGATCAACTACATGGATAGTCACTGAATTATAAGTGTGGTTCTAATTTAATCAATTTTTCCTCATGAAGATGGTGGATGGGCCTGCCATGGTATTCTAGGGTTGGAAATCAATTTCGAATTAAACTAAAATCCATCGCAAAATACCCTACCCAAATCTTCACATTTTATTACATGTCATAAACAAGAGCATCAACAACACCAGTCGCAGAGAAAAAAAAAAGCTGCAATTACCTCAACATCAACATCAACTCCATGCTTAACATGGTAGTTTGATGGAACACCAATGTATTTTCTCCTTTGCAACTCTTGTTGGAAATATATCTTGAATAATGGATTATGGAACTCACACCATATGACAGGTGTTATTAATCTTTTTCAAAGCTTCAATCCATTATCTAGTCATTCTTTTGTTAGCAGGAATAGTCGCAAAATTTTATGTATGGAGATGAATTTTAAAATTTTAAGAATTGATGAACTAATAAAATCTTGTAAGAGCAAAAAAAAAATTTAATAAAAGATATATAAAAAAAATCTAAAATATACTTTAACATTACAGTAAAAATTAGGTAAAAAAACATGTTCAAATTCTCAAAATTGATAATAGGAGTGAGTACTTTACAAAAATAGTAGCTTCTTATCTTCAAGAAAAGTGCATAATTCATGTAAGCTTATGTGATGATACACCACAACAAGATAAGACAGCTGAATGAAAAATAGACACATTCTAGAGATAACTGAATCCTTAATATTTTTCAATGAGTGTTCTTAAACAACTTTTGGGGAAGCCATTTTAACAGCCACATATCTTATAAATCAAATACCTAGCAGAGTGTTATACTTTAGAAAAAGTCCTGTGATGTTCTTCAATAATTTCTCTATTTTAAGATGGCTTTTTTCTGATCTTCCTTTAATAATATTTGGTTTTTCAATATTTCTTTATATTCACTAACAATTTAAAATCAAACTTGATCCTGAATCTATAAAATGTGTCTTTCTAGTTTTCTACTTTACTAAAATGAGCTACAAATGTTACTTTCTCATAACTCAAAAAATATATACTTTCACGGTTGTTACCTTCTTTGAAGATAAGTCTATATGTTTCTCCAAATATGAAATTCAGGACGAGAATTTAGATGAATTTCATCTTTGAGACAATCTTAAAACTTTTCAATCCACATACACATTTCTATCCAGAAGAACTCGAATTCACCGAAACAAATCCATATTCTTCACTCAAAAAAGCAGCAAACTCTCCACAAAAAGCAACAACTCATTTCGAAACTCCTCAACCACCGTTCCAAACTCAACTAGAAACAGAACAACTTTGTGGAAGGGGGTGACCTAATGAGAATCTAGATGATACTACACAACTCAAAGTATGTCAAGAACTGAAACTAGATCCTACTGCCTCATAAATCGACACAGGTATGAAGTCTTCGTCTAGTGACATTTATGTTTCATTTATTGATAATTATGATCTTCCTATTGCTGGAAGAAAGGATAGGTTAGAAAATGCACAATCTATCATATTTAGAGGTACATCACTTACGGGGAACTAATGTCATCCTTCAAAGCATTTATTATGTCACTTGATAAAATTTAGATCTCAATTACACCATACAAAATACAATGAAAAATTCAAAGTAGGAGAAGACATTGGAACAAGAAATTAATGCCTTAAAAAACAGGGTCATTACTGATCTATCTCTAAAAAAAAAAAGAAAATAGGTTGTAAATGGATGTTTACAGAAATATAATTTAGAGGAAAGTATGGAAAGATTCAAGACAATACTAGTGGTAAAAAGATTCACACAATCTTATAGAACTGACTATCAAGAAACATTTGCACCAATGATAAAATTAAATGTTGTTCAAGTATTGTTGTAAATGAAGATTACTTTTGAATTAAAATTCATAATTATGGGTACATGTTTATAATGTATATTGTTATCATAAAATATGACATAAATTAAGTGATCAATTATGTTACAAAGTTATAAGGTATTAGAATTGTCATGGAAATAAAAGTGTAGAGTTATAATTACAGACAATAATTGATTCTTAAATCAGCTATATAAAGGGTTATGGTCCCTAAGAAATAGATACTCTTGTATTTACTCTTATCCCGTAAGAGAGTTTATACTTAAGGGAGTTCTATGTTCTTGGAAGATCACAACCAAAGAAAGATTTAAGTATTTCAACATATCAATCAATTTAGGTACGATTGTGCATCTACTATTTTTATCCTTGATAATTTTCCATGATTAGATCCTATTTATTTTTCATATTTATTATGGTTTGGTTCTAACAAGTGGCATAATCATCAGATCATGTTGAATCAATGAGAGTTAATTGATAAATGTATTTATTTTTATCTGGATTGATTTGTTCTTACGATTTTATGGTTTTAAATATTTTTTATTGAATTAATTTGGAGATTGAAATTTTTAGGTTTTGATTTTTAATTATTTTTTTAGGGTTTTATGTCAATGCATGCATTATCATTGGATTACTTCAAATTAAATCAAGTTAATTCTTTTGGTTGCTTCGATATACATTGTAGGGATGACTTTGCTTTATAAAATTTACGCAATTTTAGACTCTACCTTCTATTAATAAATGGTTGTGTATTTGTGTTAATTAATTTCTCATAGATTATTGAAATCTTATAACCAGTTTTAGTTCTTTCAATTATTTATACGTGGAAAGTGGTTCATGCGAAATGAATCTATAATCTATTTATTTTGAATTATGACTTGATAATGGCTTATAAGGTGGATCTACAATAGTTTCCTCCGTATCGTTTCTTTATGACTTGACAATGGTTTATGAGGTTGGACCATAACTATTTCTTCCCTTTTTGGTTTGATTTTTGCAATTGTACAGTTTATATGTTTTTTTTTGTCTAGTCTCAATAAAGGGTAAGATCGTTACAATAAACCTTCATCTGTTACTAAGAATTAATATTTTGTTGATTATGATATTAGGTGGTATATGCAAATTTTCAAATTCTTTTATGTATTGTACATTAAAGTTTTACGTTAAGTGTTTTGGGTAAATATACGATTAACAAATTCTTGAGAAATAATCAAAGTTTGAGGTTTTTGTTTTAAAATAACGTCATTTAGACAACCTTATTATGATTTACATCGGAAATTATGAAATTAGAAAATTCAGTTTTGTTTTTTGACTTTTATAAATTATAGAATATATATTTAATATTGATATATTCGATTCAGTTTGATTAATGATTTAATTCACTAGTATGTACTTTGACCTAGACTTTTGATTCAATGTTGATTGTTTTGAATTCGGTTTGTCTTTGGTAATTTATGGAATTATAAATTAAATGCATGTTTAAGAATTCTTTAGAAACAATCAAAGGCTTGAGTTTCCAAGTTTTGATAGCACCGTTTATGTAACCTTATTTTGGGTTATTTAGGATATTGTAGTGCAATCATAAATTTCAGTTTTGACCTTTGATTATTGTAGAAATATTAAATTTAAATACTGATATTTATTTTGAGACGACTTAACTAAAGCAATAAGTCATTAAAGTGGCCTCAATTATGAAAAATATTTGATCTTTAAAATATTTTGTAAAGGTTATGTACATGTAACTTAGAATATGTTAGTATTGATCGGCCTAAAGGAAGATTAATAGTTGACATAATCGCATGTACAACTTTGATAATAAACATTGTGACAATTATTCGGTTTAATGTGTGAGTAATAAATTGACCTAAAGGAAGATTTTTTTTCTTGACATGTTCTTATTATCGATGTTTGATTACCGCACCAGATATTACTTAAAGTAAATATTTTATCTAAAGATGAAATATTAAAGAGCATCTAATATCTTGGGATAAGATTTAAGTAAGCAATTATTATTATTTTGGTTATCTTTTAATTTAATTAAAAGATAAATTTAAAATAAATTGATTGATTAACAATATTTATATGGTTTTATTTATATTGTTAATGCAATATATGTATAAATTCAATTCGGTTTTCTAGTTTTGATTGTTGGTTAATAGAATATATATGTTTTGAAACAAAGTAATTCATATTATGGCCATGTCTGATAATTTGATAGATTAGTTTAAACATAATACTGCCAAAGTGACATCTTTTGTGTAAACTGATTCATTTAAAATATCAAGATGATTATATGTTTCTTGTGATTCATGCATTTATTAGTTGACCCAAAGGAAAGTTAATATTTGGCTGAATTTGAAGTGACACTTGTGGTAATAATATGTTATAGTTATAGGGTACTTTATGTGAGCATTACATTAGTCTAAAGATTAGTCTATTGTTTGACATAGTCTATTGTCAATGTTTGATTACTACATCAAGAGTTCTTTTTACTGTTAATATTATTGTCCAAAGACTTGATATTGATGTAGTGTTTGGTATCTTGAGATGGGAATTAGCCATAATTTAGAATTTATTTGTTTACTTAAGATATGAGCTTCAATTTTATTTATGTTTTATTCTATATTTATTGTTATCACAACATCTGCTATTATACATTTTCTGCTCATACTTAAGAAAACAAATCTCAAGGAATGAGAAAATGCACTTACATAAGGTTTTGGTTGTATAAACATAGACCTTGCACGAAGGAAATAACAATTTTTACCTCTCATGAGGATATCATCCATAATTGGTATAAGGGATTTTGAGAGGTGAAATTTGTTCAAATTGTATAAGTTTAATGGTCATGAAGCACGAAATTTTAGAAGCC